AGTAGCACATTCACGTTGTATAAAACACTTCTCGATTCTATGGTTCACAATCACAGCTTTGGACAAACCGGAGTCACCTTCACTGAGTTACAACGGTGTTCGATGAGGGGAATGAAGTAGTATAGAGTCGAACAACAAACTGATGCATCCCTACAGGATGCATGAATGCAGGTAGTGACGTGCATTTTAGAAGCCGCCTACAAGTTACAAGTCACTGCGTTGCAGTGCTTCGAAGACTGCAAAAACTTTTGCCTGTTTGGAAAAGCGCAAGATACACTCACCGCAGAGCTGGAGATTGAGCAGTTGAGGCTTGTGGCTGAGGGATTGGAGTGTGAATTGCGTAATACCACGCCATCGATGCTGCACCGGGAAGAGGACGTGGAACTTGGTACCAAAGAGTCACCATTGCCGCTCACGGCCGAGACTTCATCGGGCTCAATCACAGATAGTTCCGCCGTAAAACCGCTATGTAAAAGGCAGGAGATACTACTCAAAACAAGAGGTAGATTCAAATGAACAATTAAAGATCAGCGTTGAGTCGTATGGAGCAAAATAAAAGGAGGCCATATTCCCATCACCATCTCCAACTGGCTTCGTACGTGTGCGTAAAGAGGTTAAGAAGCCTCAACAACCCAGGGAAATATTTTTGGAGAACAATTAAAAGTCGCCAACTGTCCATCTGAGTACCGGTTGAAGATGGCAATTTAGCGAAAAAGTTGAATACTAATGACTAAACTATACTACTAGCTAAAGTTGTGCTACTAGAAGGTTCTTGTTGTAAAAGTTGATTATGGAAGAGCCGAAAATTTCAAACATGTCTTAAGAAATCTACATCAAAACCACCGATCGGGAGTTAACCGAAATATAATAAAAAGGGAAAATTAAAGTCAGGCGCGCCAAAAGCTCCGGATGGCAACTTTCTAATGTCATTATACAACAAGAAGAAAGGTGGGTGAAGTGGCAATAAAACTACCTCTTGACAATAAAATCCCCGTTCTTAGAGCAATACCGAACCAACAATGCGAAACGTGTGTAAACCTGCCATAGACTAACAATCGAGCCATCAGACACGTGGCAAGCGTAGACTCAGCGGCAAAGATAGGAGGGCGAAGTCCACCGAACGCGCACAAGATGTGCACCACCCGAAACTAAACCACCCAATTCACAGCCACATTTTATTGTTGATGTGGGATCGTGAGTTGTGACTAGGATGGTAGGAGACTTTGATAGAAAATCACATTGGTGAATGCTGTCTTGTTTGTCTGACCTGGTGCGTCGAATCATGTTGGAAACTTGGAGGAAAGAGAGGCCATCAATGGGTTGGCGGTTGACAGCTTGTAAAATACTACCGCATTTAAGACCAGCAAGCTCGGCAGTGCCACCTTCACGAACCTTCGAAATGACGATATGAGGACCTAAGGGAAGTGGAAGGTCAATGACAACAAGCCGCAAAGCAGATAACCGGAATTGGTCCCAAATCAGATCCGAAAACTCAAATATGATTTCTAAGGAACCAATCACCAACAAATGTAAGGCAGTCATCAGGTTGCAACAACAGACTTTGAAGTGTGTTGTATGTAGGTCGGTACAAATGACGAATAAAAGTAGCTAAAAAGATTGGCGAAATGCGTTTCAACCTCCGTGTCAGAAGGAGAAATACAAGAGAGACAAGTAATGCATTTACTATCGCACATTGTGTGAAAAATAAATAAGTTTCATAAAACAGGGCGCCTCAGATGAAGCTAAAACTATGCTGCAATACGTTTTGTAAAAAATGCATGAAAGGTATGCGTACTTTCTTACTCTATCAAAATTTAATGCGGCCAAAACATTTGCAGAGACATTTTGAATGGAATGCCGTAAGCATGTACCAAATTTTGGGTAGGTAGAAAAGCATGAATTTTAAATCTAAATGTGCAGGCGAAATATTTGGCGTGGGGAGGAAAGGCGAGAGAGAATGGAAGAAGCTGAAACTTTGGCAGACATCTTACTGATCCGTGCGCCACAATTATAGTATTGAAGTACTAAGATAACATTTAAAAAAGCACTGTTTCTGGAGACACCAAAATAGTTAGGAGTGAGATTGGATCAACTAAATATTGGTTTAACAGAGTTGCTGGAGGCAAGCAAGTAAATTCACTCACCATTAGATTTAATTGAGAATTCAAAACCGATCGGTCCACGGGGAATGACGATGTTGACCACGTCTCTGCTCTTCGCAGAAGTTGAAGAGAGAGCTGTTGGCATCTAATCAACAAAAAATGTCAACTGAGAGAAAGCATTCTTATCTGATGAAAAAGTGATAGGAAAAATCACACAAACAAAATACAATGAGGCCTTTAAATACTATGTTGATTTGAGTCGAAAGAAAATAATAAAATAACCATGCTGTACATAGAAGCATAATTCAAATGACTAGAAATGCCCACTTCATTAACACTCGCGTGCGCAGCATTGAAGAAGCACCAATTAGAGGAGGTGGACGGTAAAAATAATGGCAGCGTGAAAACGAAAATGTGCAAATTTTCTAAAGAGTGGTGATAGGCCCAAAAGCGACGAGATCAAGACTAGCAACCCAAGCATTGACAGTCGTCTTTAGCATGCCTATTTCAATTCTACACCGGTCATCCCAACTGTAAAGTCCAATGATAAACCTATAGTAACGCAAAAAGCTATAAAAAACAAGATTTACAAAAAATTACGAAACATACTCATCTGTCTCGTAGCAGCAGAAAAAGGTAGCAGAAAAAAGACATCAGCATGAGAACCACAAAAACAGATGAGAAGACGAATCTGGACTTCATCCAATCAATACTTGAGGTGACGAAATGGTGGATTGTCTTTCAACCTCTCTGTCACATTGGACAGCTCCACACCTGTACCAAACAATGACACAAAATACATCCACTCACGTGCCTGCTTTTGCCTCCTTCACCACACCTCCTCAAGTGACTCGCTGTAGATGACCGATGGAGGTGTCCATCTTACAACCCGCTAGACGCACACACACACACACACACACACACCACCTCAGTGTTTCACCCACCATCAGTCATCTCCACCTTCACGACAAACAATAGCAGCAATCGAGATGACGTACCTAGTGGGAAGGAAGAGCAGA